CGCGAATTCAGTTCTCCTCTAGGAAGGTATTTTCAACGAATAAATGCTTTATCACTTATATTTTAAACTTAATGAGAATTCACATCGACTCATCCCCCACTCAACACATCTTTTATCAAAACCAGTCTTGCTCTTCTTGAATATAGTACCATTGACTAAGATTTTTCTACATGATTATTGTTCAATTCGTCAAGTGTCCTTTTCAGTCACATAGGAANAATGAAGGACGTGGAAATAACCTGAGGGCACGGCCCATTGTTTCGTAGTTCATTCCAGGCTTGTTCTTATGCAGTCCCCAGAGACGTGAAACGGCTTTCGAATCAACCAATTTGAATATACCTTTGCTGTGATCCAGCCATTTGATATATTTGGGGCAATATTCTTTATCTTGCAGTAATCTCAGCAAAAACTCCCATAAATATGTTACTTGACCTGAAATTCAGCAATAAATCAAACATCCCATTTGGGGCTGCTGCTCAACATGGTCAAATTTTCTGGAGTTGTGTTGAATTGCGTTGAATCAGCCACAATAAACGCGTTCAAATCCAATATTATTACATGTTTCGTCATATATTCGTTGCGTACAAAGCGAGAAATGAATGCAGTTATCACTAAGTAACACTCGATGAAATTTTTTCGATGAAACCAGTTCATTTGCGACAGCTCATTTGAATCACCTGAACTCAACTGCATGCATGGATGAGAAAAATTCCTCCGGATTTTCAAAGGGGACCAAAAACTCAGCCAAAATTCAGGCAGATTAATTGAATGATCAACTTGCCTTCACGACTTTTTCTACGATTGCCACTGATGTTGTGTGCTGAAGGATATGATTCACTGAGACGTTTAGCTTCGAACAATGACAACGGCTGGGGAAGAGCACAACAAAATTGGCTGGGTATTGTGGGGAAGGATGTTCGCAGGTTTGTGGCGGCTTGTGGTGATGTTACCGGTGTGGACGGCGTAGTTGTGGTTGGCATGGCGGTAAGGGTACTTGCGAACATGGCTGGATCGTGCAGTGCAGAGGTGATACAGCTGGTGGTTGATGACGGAGTTGAGATGGGGTTGGAAACGGTCGATGAAGGAATCGAGATGCCAGTGCTCGGACTGACCGAAGATGATAGGTCGACGAAGGAGGCACTCGTTGGGGTGGTGGACGCAACTGCAGCCGCATTCAATGTGACCCAATTCGGGCACAGCAGTGCGGCCGAGAGCCATGGGTTCAGCAGTTGGATGTCTGAAATTGAAACTGATAAACGCTTCATACTTGAACGATTCTAGAATTAAAAAAAAAAAGAAGATATGATGCCTCAAAACGGAAATTTCGTGTTTATAGTCATTTTCGTTCATTTCACCTCAACGGAAATTTCATTTCATTTTTTAAAGCTCTCCGTTGAGTTTTAGGGGGAAAATTTCAATTTATCGTTTGTAGATGAATGAATTTCGTGAGCGATAAACGTCAAACAATTCAAGTTTGCCGAAACGTTAATTCGTTTTCGATTAGCAGCAAGAGAAGTTCCGTGACGAAAATACAGTCAGCAGTCGTGTAACTAACGAAAATTGTTCAAACTCCAATTTTTCTCAGAAAATAAAAAAAAGAGAAAATTATCAATTCAATGATCTCAACAACACACTTTAGACGAAATTCCTCAGTGAATCATCAGTTGAAATCACGTTTTTAAATTGGTGAAGTTCATCCGAATGGAAATTATATTTTTCTTCAGAATTGCAGTTTTATTATCTTTTCAAGACGTTTATTTGACTCACGTTGATTGAACATCAACGCAAATGCCATCAAATCAATGAGAGATTATTTCGGTATGAGGAACGACTTTCTTGTGGTGATTCGTGGGAATTGAAAGAATAAGTAAACAAACAAACGAGTAAGTAAACAAAGCAGTAATTTTGCTATTTATTCACTGACACTGAAAGATTACTTCAAACGGATTGAATTGATTCGTGACCCAAACGATCCATCCGAACAACTTTTACGAAACATCAACAATTGCTGCATTCAACTGGTCAGCAAAACAAAACTGGTCTCAATAGTCGCCTTTTTTTGCTCAAATTGCGTTGATTCACATCAGTAATGGGGATTTTTGGAAATCGGTACTGCTCACTCAGTCCCTACGAAACGAACAGAAACTCTGGAGCTGCTCACGCTCACTGCTCACGAATTTGCTCAGAATTGCTCACTCACTGCTCACAATAACAATGCATTTACAATGGTTCATGCTTACATTTCGCTCACACGCTCTTCAGTCCTCATCATTAATTCGTATGGGTAGAAAATTAGAATTAATCGTTTCGGAAATTGTGATACCAAGAAAAAGTTTAACAACGGACAAGTATCAATAAATCTTTTTGCCTGGTCAATGAGATTTTTTATGATTTTGAAGGAATAATGAATTTAGAAGACGGAACATATACTTGTAGTTCCGAAGAAGGAACCGTCGTGCTTACAACCATTTCCGTTAATTTCACCTCCGTTCAGCATATCCAGTTGGTGTTTGCACACCGCAATTCATAT